TTGCTTTGGAATGCACTCCCGCATTCAGCAGTGGAAGTTAAATGGCCCTCACTAAGGTTGTTGATGGAAGATAATTGTGGTAAGAGTGATTAAGTCAATTGCTGCTGTTCATAACATCTCTGTAAACAAACCCCATGCATTTGGAATAGAGCTAGCTTAGCGGTCGTACATGATGTCGTTACTAATAAGCAGGAATGAGTTCTGTTGGAATCATTGAGATCGTTATACTTGAGTCATATCGATCGCATTGTTGTTGTGAGCGGTGAAGCGGATTTTCCCATGCTACCTTGTCAATTTTAGCTCCTATCACTTCCGTACCCGCCAATAACACTCCCGTCCCGTATCACTATCATATCACCCTGTATCGCCTCTCGGATCCGAGGTCCCACTGTTGCTGTAACCTGCGTTACGAATTTGATGACCCTTCCCTTCCGAAGCCGCTTATCGTATCTTATCAACTGTTATCACTTTCTGTCACCCGCCAATATGTTCCCGTCCCACACCCTATATCACCTCACGTATCTGAGGTCCCACTGTTGCTGTAACCTGCGATACGAATTTGATGACCCTTCCGTTCCGAGGCTGCTTATCGTATCTTATCAACTGTTACTTTCTGTCGCCAATGATGTTCCCGTCCCACACCCTATATCACCTCTCGGATCCAAGGACCCACTGTTCCTGTGAGCCGCACTATGAATTTGGTAGTCCTTCCCTTCTAACGCCTCTTATCGTATCAGCTGATATCACTTCCTGTCACCCACCAATTGTGTTCCCGTCACACCGCCTACATCACTTCTTGAAATCAATGTCTCACTGCTACTGGGACCGGCGCTATGAATTTCGTGACACACAGACAGACGCACACACAAACATACACACACACTTACAGACATACTTAGCGGATTATATAGAGTAGGATGAGGGTATCCACAATCAAAACAACATCGTATGGCCTTTTTTATTATGGATCAATTTGCAATTTTTCTAGCGGTTGTTTTCTTATCTGTTGTTGTTGCCGCGTGCTTCCACGCGCTACGCACCCCCTCACCGGACCCCTTCCCTTGCACATGCTCAGGTCCAGCTGAGCACGTGCAGGGGAAGGAAGCAGAGGGGAGGGGTCACTCGGTGCCCCCCCCCTCGGCTCCACCCCACCCTGCCCCCGCACGAGCACACGTCCAGCTGCCACGGCAGCAGCTCGTGCAATGGCTCGGAGTGTACCGAGTGGTTGTCTTATATATGCTGTTATCACAATCAAAACATTGGATTGATACATCTGCACCGATGGGTTCCCGGTTTGGCTAGCGGTCGTTTTCTTCTTTCACTAACGTGTTTAATCCCGTAAAGCATTTTGCGGACGGACAAACATACAAACCGACATACATACCTACATACCGACAAACCGACACACAATGTTTCTGCTTTATAGAATGTAAGGATATAACGCCTCACTTGTTGTGTCCTTCTGTTTCAATTCCCGGCTGCCCTTAGATTACTCTCTTTTACGCCCCTCCAGCGTCATCGATTTGCGGATATATATATTCGTATACGCTACCATGCAGTTTACGAGCCTTTGACAATGCTTCAACAGGAAAACGCTCTTGAGAATACACATTTAATTAGCCTAGGTTTTTCCTGATTAATGGAACCCATCCTGTATATTTCTGCAGGGTGGGTTTCAATATCCAGGGTGTCAAGTACGCTGGTTACAAAGGATTCCGTATGAGCCTGACGCCGAGAAGGTGCAAGGCTCTTCTCGGCTTCAGGAACGCCGTACAGGACAATTGATCTTTGGCGTTTATCAGCCTCAACAACTTCATGTGAAAGTAAAGGCAGTGAACTTACGAATTGTTTCAGAAGCGGAATTACCTCTGGAACCTTGTCGACTAGAATGCCATAAACCTTTTCTAGAAGTAGAATACTGTCGCGATTAATCGGCGGGGAGTTTAATGCCTTAATGGCCATAGGAGAAAGCACTTTCCTCTTTTTGGGCAGGTTTTGGGCGCGGGGAGAGTCCATTGATCATAATCAACCGTCACGACGAGCACACACACACGAATCTTCGCTTCCAGAAAGAATTGCCTTAACAGTGTTTTGCGAACGCAACAGTTTAAGTAGGGCCGGTTCGTGAACTATTAGTGTGTAAAATGAGCCCTTAAACGGGGATATATCTGCTTTATGATACATCATCGACGCACCAAGGAACACAGGGAGACGGAAATCCTAAGAGGGGTGTGTGTCAGGACTCACCGCCGCGCCCGAAACTAGGTCGCCGCGCTGGGAAGTGGGTCACCGCGCGCGGCGATTACATGCTTTAACATGTTTGCATGTTTGAACATGTCTACCTGTTTGGACATGTTCTTGGCAGATGGAAGATGAGGAAAAGAGAGAACGCTCCAAGCAAACTGCGATAGGGTCATATTGATCGGAAGTTGGCAAAATGCCAGGTCAGGACTCACCGCCGCGCCACGCGAACAGGTCGCCGCGCGCGGTGACCTAGTTTCGAGCGCGGCGGTGACTCCTGGCCGTCTCCCTCCTAAGAGTGCAAAGGTATGTCCTCGGAAGGATCGGATCCACAAACTACCGCGCGGTTCGACAGCCCATCGCACTATCCACTTTACCATCCGTGGGAGGGTTGCCGCGGGAATTTTAATTTGCTCTCTTTTCGATGGATAGTTAAAAGGCACCTCATGAACAGACAACAGCACACTGAAAGCTACAGCTAGAACAGAGCCCAATAAGATGCTCGCCCTTTCTTATAAAGTTTTTTTTCACTCACTTTTTGGCATTCCATAAACGCATAGCAAAAGCGAAGCCCATAAACCCCTCAACGTACAAACCATTTCCAAAAAGCGCGTCACGACCTGAATGACCTCTTATGTAAGAACCAGTGAAAGAAGTTCCTATGTGACATATGTATAGGCAAAGCATTTCATTTTTATCACAAGAGTGCTGAGTTGTGGGCAAAAGTGAGACCATGGGCGGGATTCGAACCCGCATCTTCCGCTTTTCGTGCGACTACGTTCTTCATTACGCAAGGATCTGAAGACCATATGACATGACTGGATTTCATTTTAAGTTCCGCCAGCTGAGAACTGTCAGAACTGTTTTGTCTTTTCTTTCTGATTACCAAGACTCAATTCAGCCCCTTTGACATATGTATTGCAGACTCAAATCACAAGCTCAAAGATATGCTGGTGGAATTTCAACCCGACGGCAAATTCTACCACTATACCCTCTCCAACGAGCAGGTTCCTTTGTTGTCATCCGTTTCTGTCGTAGTGAATGTTACCGTAGTATCCTTTCGCGTAACAGGGACCATTGCAGGGAAATCAAACGATAAACCTCGATGGATTTCGTGCCTTTCTATTTGAGTATTTTGACGTCGAGCTACCAGAGGATCTCATCGAACAGCTGTTCCTATCGTTTTCGCAACCACGTGTGAAAGGTAATCTTATCGTTAGTGCTACTCAGAGACATACTGCGTAGTTACCTAAATCACTTTCCTCTTTTCCTTTCCTACTTATTCTTCAGCGTTTGTCCCACTCTGTGGTGAGGTCTGCTTTTCTGACTTTGTGACGCTATTCTCCCGATTGAGTGCTCGATCTGGGTGGGCACCAACTATCGGCAGCCATGACGGTCGGTAGCGGGTACAAGGAATTACTTTCATCCCTTTCGAGTGCCACCATTCGGATCTCTCAGGACTCCATCGCTCAACATGTTTTGACCTGAGTATTGCCATATTCAACGTACAGAAGGGTGGGCGATGTTGCGTGGCAACTGCGTCGTGCAGCTTCGCCTCTGCGGACTAAGTCCAAGGTAGCCAGCCATTCTTACCCTATGCTATTACTGCAGTGGATCACCTTGACAAAAATATTGGCCAGCAACACTAGGACACTAGGACACTAGGCACTTTACATTTCTTTGGGGAAATGAGGACAGTAAAGAGTAGAGCACATCATTAGTTGGGGATTTTGGTCGAGTCCGTACGACCACCCCCCCCCCCCCCTTTTTTAGGGGGTTGGTACGACCGCCCCCCCCTAGTTCCATAGTTCCATCCTCATCGAGCTTCGAATGGGGGGAGGGGGGTAGCACCTGTGAAACGGGAAAAATGCGCAAGGAAAATGCGCCTCCCCCTCTCCACCAGTTCTTAGATTTTTCCCAACTTGCTGGTTTCATCCAAAAATTTGCTGTCGAGCGGTTGGGGGGTGGGCGGGGGGAGGGGGTCTGTGGGTATTTAGCGCAAATGAAACATGAAAACACGAAAACTCACGAAAAGTCTGCAACCTTCTCTCAGAAGGTCAGAAGGGAAATACGACCCCCCCCCCTGTTGGGGAATCCCCAACAACGATGTGCCCTGGTAGAAAGTCGTTGTTGTAATTTTTGTTCAAATACATCAATCTCAGTATTGATTCCCATACAAACGTTACAGAGCGCAGGACAAGTGTTTTGGAAGAGGCTTTGTCAACGGTTCGAGCGAAATTCGCCGACAATCTGTCGAAGCTCGAAAAATTCAAGTCTTCGTTGGATCTGATCGCACTTGACAGGATACCGGAAGAAGGTTTGCATCTCGTTGCCAATTTTTTTTTCAAAAATCACTTGTGTAAACCACTAACGTGGCCTTGCGCCTAGGATATGTTGCGAACGAGTAGACCCAATTCGATATAATATGAACAGCTGGGACGATTTCCACAATTGAGAAGGGTATACCAGAACTTCTGCCGGTAGTCATTGCGATAGCAGTGCAGCTCATTCTTCTCACTTAGCGAATTAGCTCAGAAGAATCAAAGAAATACAATAAGCAGCAGCGAAGAATCGTGCGTTCTCACTTTTCAGCAGCCACGGAAGTTCATGCGCACAACAACGTTTTGACTGAGGCTCGGATCGCTCTCAAACCTTTGTTTTGCACGCTGTCACTCCTAGAACCAGACACACCGCAGAACAAGTTGGATGGTATGTTCGGGGATTATTTTATTAGGAGCCTGAATCCGCTAGAGGGTCTCAATTCAGCATTTCAGTTGTATTTCAAGTGTACGATTCGGATGCTAACGGGTACCTAGACAAACTGGAAGTTGATGGAATCATCGAGCAGATGATGAATGTGGCCCGGCATCAACAGTGGGACACCATAGAGCTCGAGCCGGTAGGTCTCCAGTGCGACTCTCAAGCTCCTAAATTAGACAAAAAATTCCTGCAGATGGGTTCAGATTCTCCGACAAATGATGGCCGACATAGACGCCAACAACGACGGTATTGTGTCGTTGGAGGAATGGCGTCGAGGAGGGCTCACGAACATTCCACTGCTCGTTCTTCTGGGCTTTGATACGGTCTGTCATTTTGAAATGTTGGATAGTTTCAGATATGTGCGAAATGGTCAGTGGCATGAAGAGGGATTATTACTGAACTTATGCGAAGTTCATAACCATTTTTCAGGTTCAATATAATCCCTCCTCACGCCACTAACCATTTCACACCAATTATTAAGTCGGTCGAAACTTCAATAATGGCTATTTCTTCGACTGCATTGTTAGATTCTCCATGAACATTGCTCAATATCAAGCGATCAAGTGACCTACTGTGACCATAGGTTTGACCCCAATCTACCGTACTGTATAGTACTTTTCGCGCCCAATTAGTGATCTTGAGTAAGTATATAAACCCGTCACTTCTAGTGAGTGTTGTGTTGTTCCTAATAAATATCCTCTGCCTATTCAACTGCCATCAACTCTCCGCGACACAACAAACACCCCTTCTTCCGCAGCATTCTTTCTCAATGGAACTTCCAAGTTCAGGAATAGGGTTGTGATCGTGATGGTCTCTTCCTACATTCTATTATACGCAACTTCCTTCTGAGGACGTTGCACAGGACTGCTCACGCTCACTTGAAATTGAGTTTCAAAGCAAGCTGAAGCTTGCAATCGAAGAGGACATGTAAGGTGTCCAATATGGCCGCAACGAACGACTTCTGGACCTTGGCATACATCGTTGGACAAGGACGGTTATAAATAACTTACACAATTCCCTAGCTCTTTCTCATTTGGTTAAAAGCATTTTAAAGAGTAAACTCATTCCTAAATTCAACTGGACAAACTTCACGCCGTAGTTTAAGGGTTCCAAGTAACACTTATGCATCTTTACGGTAAGGGGCCTTCTTGAAAGGTATAACAGGATCCAAACTGACGGCATGGGAAACTGCTCAAAGACAAAATCCGCGATTGCATACTATGGGTAGTGGCGTTCAATAACCGACCTACAGTCGCCAAGTCACTCTCTATAGAGGGAACGGGAAAAAAATCAGAAAAATAATTCGAAACACTGAGAATGGACCACCTGGCTGTACCAGGACCGACTCGTTTCGTGACAACGAGGACATCCTGCTGCCTCTGGTTCACTACTCGTTTGATCGCTCCATCCAGTACTAAATAAGACTTGACAGTGAAAAGAACAACGAGAAACACGATGTATAAACGGAACTCGTGGCAAGAAATAGCCTTCGAGCACGTCTTATGCAATACTGAGATTTGGCAAACACGCTATCAGGCGAACTCTTGCACTAATGCATCCGTTGGTGAACTGAACGCGTCTAACCTTGCGAAATGGGCTGCTTTGAACAGTACATGCCAACGAAAAAAGTATTGGAAGAGAGCAGAATTACTCATGAGCACGAGTGCGGTCTACAAATATGAACATGCAATTCATGATTTATGCCCGCCGTTCCACCAAAGAACAACTAATTGCCTGTGCGTTAACTGTAACGTGGACTTTTGTAGCTGATCGGTCCAACTGGTGGGTGTCAGAACTTGAACTTGCAACGAGCAGAACCTCGTCACCCCTATGGAGTCGCGGATGTGGGACAATGTCTGAGGACTGGACAACTTGGACAGGGAAGGACTCCAGCTACTTGTTGACCTGTCTTTGATATCCATTGTGCAGCGACTTCTCCGAGACACTCGCGGGGCTATGTGGCAGCGACTTCCTCCGAGAACTCGCAGTCGCAATGCGAAGGCGGCGGCGTTTAAATTGGCGAGTGGCTCTATACTCCGAAAAGGGGGTAATTTCAGGAGTCGGAGGGAAATCAGTTTTTTTTTGACTAACGCGCCCTCACCAACCTGACTTATGTCAAAGGTATAACTATTTTATAACCCGTTGAAAGTGGATTTTTACTGCCCTGCAGTGTAATCTAACTTTGAGCATGTTCAGGAAATGAATGAAGATGGCACTCACTCGTGGAGACTACGCCACTTCAATAAGCCGACGCACTGCAATGCATGTTGTAGTCTGCTACTTGGTTGGGGAGGGAAACAAGGACTGAGTTGCTCTCGTAAGTGACCTTTCAAAATTACTGATACATATTAGTTTCTTCTTCACTATTACCCTCATCATAGAATTTTCAAGGAGCGATATCTGTTAAGTGTTACTTTTAGTGTCCTTGAGTAGCCGAAGACGCGGCCAATCCCGGAAAATGAGCACGGAAAACAAAAAATATGCCGCTCGATAGCACAGCAACGGTGTGTACGGATTAAGTTGGAAGAATCCTCTTTGGGGGCGGCGGGCGGCGCGCCTCCTGTCAAGCTTTCGGCTCTATTGTAAGCCTGTACATGGCGTTCTGGCTACTGCGGCCTTACCTATAACTGTTTTTCAAGCACATTAATGGCTCAACCGACATAGGTGCCGTCGTCTGAAAAAGCCCGGCCTCGGGGGTCAGGTCGTTGGACACGATTTCGCATTCAACGCTAGTGCCCGCCGCCTGTTTGCTGTCTAGATAGATGGGTCTACTATGCCCGCGACCATACAAAAGTTGACCCTGGGAAGCCTGATACTGCCTTAAAACCAGGCTGAATGTCGCGTGATAGATACACCGCCACATCCCAAGTTGATAGAGTGGGCGTGGCTGCCGGAACTTTTCTGGAACATGGCGTTAGGGATTGCTATTTGACGTTGTTCGCGTCGAATTTTCCATTCGAATAACACAAGGACTGGACAACAGTCCTAGTTGCAATTGTTCTGACACATAGCAATATCTCTTCCAAGCACAGCTGCAGCACTCCTAAAGGCAGGTTGGACACGATAATCCCTCAAAGACGACTTAGGATCAATACTCCTGGCAGGATAGAATTCCGCGACCCTGGGCAGGCGCTGCATAGCGGTTTCCCCGAGGAAGGTGCCCTTATAAGGGCCCTATCAAGCCACAACATTACGTCCCAAACGCCGCCACGCCCGCCCGCCCAACATGGACGACCGTTCCTGACGCTCTCGTATTCATTCATCTGCCTAGAGCAAACTTATGAAGCGAAGAGTATGTGGTATGAAGCGGCAACGGTGATGCTGCATGCATATATGTCAGTTACACATAATCAGCCGTATCTTCGGTAGCGGTGATTGGTAAGATGCCTACGGGAAACTCGTCCGAAATCGATTTACAAGTCACTGAGAACGGAGGCTTTTTCTTCGCAGGATTTTGACCGTTTCACTCCGTTCTTTCGCCATTTCCCCACTATACAGCCCTACTAGCATTTTAGGCTAAGTAGGAAACCATCTGTGCAACTGCTGATGAAGTGCCGCAGAACTGCAACTCTATCTCTGCGGCATGGTGTAGGATATGTCACGGGCTGTCGGACCGCCGTGCGTGCAGATATCATGCAGGTCGCTGTAAGTTGAGACCAACATTCATATCCAGAAAGTTTGCTCCAAAATAGCATTCACGGAATCGTTGAAATGAAAAGTTTGAGAAGGATCATAGAAGAAGTGATGAGAAATTGCGTCTGGAACCGCTATTACACAAGAAAGGATCTCTTTGAAGAAGCTCCGAAAGAGAACTTTGGAATCTGTTCCAGTGAACTATTGTTCCTTGGATACCATGATGCTCATAGCGATCATTCTGGTGTCTCGCATGGTAGCGTAGACGCGCGCCGGCGATTGCGACGCCGCGGCATAATGGCTCACTATCTTTCGGGAAACCAAGGTATCAGATGACCTCACACGGAAATGCTGGTTGGCGCAGAAATTTTGAAAGCCCACGAAAAGAAGATGGTTGCCCAAAATTCTGCAAAAACATGTTTTGCTTTTTGTTCGTAGTGGCGGACCTCGTTGACCGCTACCGAGTCAAAAATCGCTAGCACAATCGGTTTTAGGGCAGAGCTATGTAAGTTTCTTATGTGTGGCCGTCTATGCGATGTAACCCATGACTCACACCGATAATGCAAAGGTACAGTTGACTGCGCTCAACACCGGACCTATTCTTTGGTTGCGCCCAGGCTCAACAATTAATTATTATGAACCCTGAATGAATTGATTTTCCGGTGAACAACGCCGTTTTTCCAAACTGCACAAGCCAAGCAGATATCTTGACTCTTCAATAATTTTTTTTCTTGGCCGATGATGCGTTTCTCCATTTCGAGTCGCTATCTCTGCAGACCGCATAGGGTCACGTGGAGAGCGCCCCCGTGACTCGGAGCCAGCCCCCCCATCATCGCAATTCAAGCCTTTCCGAGCCACTTAGCTGCTGGTTTAGAAAGCCATTGTAGCCATATACCGCCTCTGTTTGTGTTCCAATTTTACGCCCCGCCACACACGCTTATCGCACCCGCATCCAGGATGATGACTTCACTATATCTCTCTACTGGATTGTTTTTCTGTATCGGATTGTGCAATATTCAAATGTTACAGTATGCAAGTACACTGTGCACGAGAAATGCGTCAGAAGTGCAGCCACTAACTGCATTCGTACGTTTTCCAGTCGGCAACTAGGTGAGTCTCAACTGGATACAGGACCAGGATAAGGGGGGTGGTCTAAAAATGAGATTTTCGTCTCTCTTGCGAAGGAATGATATTCAGATCAAATGATATTTAGATAAGTTGTATCACCATTGGCAGGATGCCAACACAACATCGAAATGCGTACGATGTCGTTCGAACGTGAGTGCATTCCAAGGAAAAAAACCGCAGTCGTTTGGTGCCGCAGCTACGTGAGTGTGAAAAGTTAGGCTGAAAGGCAGTGGGTGTGTTCACTAGAGGGCAGGGCTGCAGTGCGTAGCGTCATTAGGGAGGGGGTGGGGTGGAGACGATCTTTAGGACCACGCGACGTCGCTTGTGCGGCCAATCTGCCGCGGGCTTGCAGCTGGAGTGCACCAGCTCGCGACTAAACTTCATTGCCTTCGTTGAGTGTAAATTGATGTTCGCTTCAGTTGCTCGTTTTCGTATCTTCAATTTAGCTTACCTGCTGATCCCGTCATCTTCATCTTCAGACTTCACAATGCTTTCTGGAGAGCATACTCTCAGAGACTGTACTTATTGTCGTTTTGTTGAGGTACGACGCTGTCCCCTTGGAAGAATACAGCAAAATGTGTCAGTCGCGAAAAAAAACCATTGCGAGCGAGCGCCGATAGCCAACCGACTAGGGTATTGCAGACTGTCCGCGCGCGAGGCCGCGTGCGTTCTACTCGTTACACCCTGCAGGGGTTCGTGTTGTCAGCGCTTACCAGTGATTGGCCCCGTCTCCTGCGGCGCAACGCCTCGTGTGGCTACTCAAATCCTGATGCTGCACTAATGATGGTTTCCACGATTTCATCACAGATGTATGGCTTCTGGGCAAGAATGCGACCTAGGAAACCTCTCTTATCATGTTTTGCCACCTACTCATATATTCCCTGCCTTCCTAGATAGGAATTCAATATCATTCAAAGCACGACCAACAAGTTTACTTCAGGTGAGGGCTGAGTCACCTTTGAGTCATCCATCTTCTCCCCCCATACTAAACGATTTCAGGCGGTAAGCCCGGGCATCCACGCACGGCCTTTGCTTGTTTTGGTCAATCCAAAAAGTGGAGGCAAGCAGGGGGTCCGGATTCTACAGAAGTTCGCGTATCTTTTAAATCCACGGCAGGTGTACGATCTGTCAAAAACTGGGCCCGAAGCCTGGGTGAGTTACACAGTAGTGTGAGTTCTCTATCTACTTATAGGTCTTATATCTCCGCTGCTTACTAACTATACTCTCCGCTCTCGAAGGAAACACACCTTGCAGCGCAAGTAAAGTTCGCAGTCTGCCGGTGTTCTATTGATATTTAGCAGCCATTCTTTACACGGTTGTTTAGTTTCACTAAAGACAGGCCTCGACTAGTTGCTAGGTTTCCTTCGTTGCCTAATCAGTCCCACTCGATCTTTAGGACTGTCCCACGCAAGCTCCAAAGCGAGGGCTAGTGCTCGCCTCGCGAGTCGTACAAGTATGGAGCGTACGTCCTTCTTGAGTTGGCGAAGATATTAAGCTTGCTTCGGAAAGTTTCTTAGCGTTTTGGGTGTTTTAATTTAAACGATTCATACCTGCCTCTATAACACTGCCATCCACTCTCTCCAACCCAAACTCAGGCACCATTCGAATAAGCACAACTTGAGCATGTGGCAGCAGTCGAGAAATCCCATCAAAGAAAAAACTGGGTGGTCGAGAATCCACGAAATCTGCGAAGGTCTTTTTTGCCTGGTCCTGTTTGATGAAGTATTTCTCAGCAGGAAAGTTCTGAAAATGTCTGAAAAGGTGACAGTCGGTTGGTGAAAGGTCTAGAGAATATGGTGGGTGAGGTAGAACTTCAACTCCCAATTCGTTCAATTTATGGATAGTGATTTGTGAAACGTGTGGGCGGGCGTTGTCATGCAAAAGAATCGGACCCTTTCTTTTGATAAGTGTTGGCTGCAGCTGACAATATTTTCGGTACATTTGGTCGGTTTGTTCACAGTAGGGTTCTGCTGTGATGGTTTGGCCCCTAGGCTGATGAAAAGGTTACCTCGGGATGGTTCCTCCCAAAATCCAACCACTGCCTGTCCGCCGAAACGAGTCTTCCTGTTAATCAATAATTGATCCATTTTTCATATCACAGTGGTGACAAATCCCGTTCAAAAAACGGCTCCAATTCTTTGCGCAAAAGCATCGTGGCAAGAAGGAACCTCGACGACGTGCCCGATTGCCTGCGGTCACTCGATTGTGGGGCACCAACGTGTCAGAGTCTTTTCTCACCTTTCCCAATGGCGTTCCAGAGCCACTCTGCAAACAAGTGGATTCTGCAAACGCCCTAGCTCTTCTGCTGATCTCTCGGAACTCCTTTGGATAATCAGCCTCCGAAATCGCGCTCAAACATCTCGTCGAATTGCTTTATATCGGCTCGATCGCTAGGAGGTTCACTTGCTTCAAGGCTGAAATTTCCAGAACGACATTTGTTGAGCCATTTGCGGCACAGTGCTTTCTCTAGCACTATTGGGCCTCCACACCTGGTTAATTTGTTGAGCTGTTTCGATTGCGGATTGCCCCAATTTATAGCCGAAGAAAAAAATCGTCCGAAGTGCTCTTTTCACATGCTTGAAAAAATCTTGAAACAGGGCACAGCATTCGATGGGGATTTTGGTCGAGCTCGTACGACCCCCCCCTTTTTGGGGGGTTCGGTACGACCCCCCCCCCTTTTTTTGGTTTGGTTTTTTTCACACAAAAACACAAGCTTCAGACTTCAGCTTCATTGTAAAAACAAAAACAACTATATACATGGGAAAAAAAACTAAAAACCACTATACAAAACCACTATATACAAAAACTACTAAATCAAAAAACAACTTCAGTGAATAGGACATAACGAAAAATAAACAAGAGGATCCCACCCTCCCTACCGTTCGCGCCACGGCCAATCGAAGCCTATCTCCCGCCTCGCCAACGAAGCCCACCCTCCCGCCCGCCTTCACGGCACCTTCACACGATTAGGTGGAATGGAAGAACTGAACAACTGACAAGTACCCAGAGCTAGCCGTTCATAACTTTTTCCTAGTTTTAGTGAGCGTTCAGGAATAGCTTCGAGTTTCGAGTTGTTTGAATTTATTGTTCGCCCTACGTGGAACTCTGAAAAAATCGAGAGGAAATAAACACAACTCAAAGCTATTTCTGAACGCTCAGTAAAACTAGGAAAACTTATGAGCGCAAAGGAAGGAAAAAGGAGAAAAAAAAACAAACAGGAACAATAAACATGAACGATAAATAAATGGCATGTTGCCTAATCAAACTCGAAAGAATCATTCCACACGATTGTTAAACAAAGACTGAACATCAGTTGTTTGTGCGCAGGGACCCCCACGTGCACTTTGATTTGAGGGGCGCAAATTTCCGCAGAAATCGTACGGTAGCAGAGTTGGGTATGAATTGCAGCTTTGACTGGAGCAAACGGCTATTAGCCATGGAGCGAGAATTTTCAGCAAAGTAGGGGTGTCTTTTGACAGGAACTTCCCTCAAAAGCGCGAACCTGTTGGGGAAGAGGAGAGGCCGTATCATGCGTAGATTAGAGGTTTCGCGTTCTTCCTGAAAGTACTAAAATGTTCATGAAGGTCGCGGAAATCACAGAGAAATCTGCCATAGGGATTCGTTGGGGAGTGAAGGGTTGAATTTTAAGTTTCAAGTTGAAACACGTCTTGAATCAAATATATTTTTTTATGTAACTAAACATTTTCACAAAATCTCAGAGAAGCGGGATCCGAGCTTCTTTCAAAGATTTTTCTTTCTAAAAACCTATTGAACTGTTCCTGAAGCTCTCGGGATTCATGAGATCTCGCGATGGGGATTTCTTAGGGAGCACTCCCAGCCGCGCGAAAAACCCGTTTCCTGTGCACCGTTTCAAGTGAGCGTGTTCGAATAGCCAGGAACGCATGTAGAACGTATCCTGTGGTGGAGCAGGAGCAGGATTATGGTTCGTTAGCGCCGCATCACGCTTGACTTGTATGCGCGCCACTGAGTCGCCGCGAAGTGATGGGATGGTGCAACTTGTGCATAATGTGTGTCCACGCGCGCAAATGTGTCTGTAGGATTCAGGGAGGTCCATGGCGAACCTGTGCACTTGTCTACAGTGTTTTCCCTTGCGGATGATGTAGCGTGTCCGTGTCGACGCCGCCAGATCTGTGCTCCGATAGTTGCTGATTCCGATAAAGGAGACCAAGTGCTGGAAAACGTCTGGTACGAACGATATGGTAGTCCTGTCGTTTGTCAGAAAAAAACAGGTTGGCTCAGCGCCCGACAAGCGTGATCGCGGACACGCCCCATCATCCGCAGCAAACCAGAGTATGAGTTGTAGTGTTTAATCACTTACGAGATGTTGTCGACTTATTAATAATTCCAATTATTTCGGATTAGTTTGATGGATGAAAGTTTTGTACTCATTTTTACATATCCGAGTTCTCTACGAAGCAAGTTCCGCTACACAGGATTCAGCACACTGACACCCTTTGCGCTGCTCGATACTGGCTACCGCACTCATTACGACCCCCGCCCCCCCCTCTCCTGCGCGTGCCAAATCACCGACCCTTCCGCCCTATGCGGGAGATTGCCCAACCAATGCTGTGCCCTGATCTTGAAAAAAGAGGGTTTATCAAGCAATGGTGAAACGGCAATTATACCATCAGATAGCGCAAGAAATTCTCTACAGGATGTGCTACTGAGAAGCAAGGCAGAATGAGTTTTAATCAGCAGTGAATGTACAAAAAATAGGTGCACAAGAACGCTGAAAGAACTTCGGACAACCTGAATTATACTGCGCGCGTAGTGTCTGTAAGCCTCATTCGTACCGTACCGGTGTCCATCGTCTTCCAACTCGTCCTCTTATGCATAAGGTGGTGTCTTTTTCGGAAAGAAAATGGCTTCATACAGTAGAAAGGCAATCCATTCCAAAGATGGAACCTTGGTGAAGTTGCTTCTTCACGGTTTTGATGCAAATTTTTGTGCACCTGTTTCTGTTGCGGACATGTACGGTAATTGGAGTTTTCTCAAAACAGTGCGGACTTCTTCATACTTACAAACGTCTTTGCTTCTATTGCTATTTTTCGCTTTTTCCTTCGAGTGTTCACCGGTTAGTGCAGGTGCTAAGAATTATACCTGGGCCAAGGGATGCACGCAGGCGGCGACAGTGCCGATATTCTGGCATCGTCCGTAAAACTCGTCCCGCCTGGCTCCTCATTCCAAGTTCTTGGCCATATCTTTCCCTTTTCCTCGCTACCAAGTCACTGTCCACCCTTAGTCTTTTTTGAACCCCTTGAAATGATGTCAGTTTTCAAGGTTTTTTACTAACCGTGCCCAACATGCGCTTACAATATGTTAGACGTTCGACGAAATCGCCACGAGGCTATACTGCTTCAGTGGCTGGAGCTGGTGTTGGGGAGCGAATGTGGGGCGCGGGAGTGAGGTGGAATGACCGAGGACCGCTGAGACAGTGCACAGTGATCACGATATCCCCACCACTGGCCAACGACTCACTATCTATGAGCGATGCATAGTAAGAGTGTTGGTTGCTCTGCTTACTGTATATCTCTTTCCTATATATGTCTTGCGGCTTCATGGTTTTCCCGATAACAGTTCCTTTTTCCACTCGCTTTTTTTTCCTATCGTTTTTTCTTTTTCCATCGTCCCTCCAGTGCTCGGGACTAACTGCAAAGAGAAGACCTTACTTTGGGCGTTTTCGGAGCTTCATATGCTTTTCATGCTGAATCAATCAAGACCTAAAAGAAGATGTTTGAATCTTCCTATCCACAACCAGTAATTGCGGAGTGTGCCTTCAAGTGGATGACAGGGTGTGGAACTGAGTGCCTGTAATACGGCGACTGTTAGGCTGCACCCTCTAAATTGTGCTTTTTTCACGATAGGTAGACGTCGATGAAGTGGAGTAGAGCTGGTAAGCAACTTCTCGTACACAAGAATGCTGAGTTTAATGGGCAAAACGGCACACGAGACGGGATTCGAAAACCCGCGCTTCTGACCTTACCGGGCAGTTGCGTTCCCTAATTACCCGCTACGAATCCCGTCCGTTGGTTCTGAGTGCCGTTAAAAGTGGCCGGTAGCGTAATAAGAGAACCAACCTGCCTCGCGTAAGCAGAAGATGCGGTGTGCGAGGAGTGGCGTCCGTGGTCCGACTTTTGCCCACAACTCAGCATTCTTGTGATAGCTTTCGTATCGCGTACTGCGGCGTTAAACAGCAGTTATCAAACAATACAATTCTCGATGACAATCTTTTGCATGCAATCTAAGCGAAGACTAATACAGATGGAATATGTTACATCGAGGCGCCCTACCGAGGAATAAAGGCCAAGGCTGAAGACCGCATGCCCACTAGTCTCTGCATACGCCCAGCTCATACCATACGGACTCGATCGATATTATCTGACTGTGCTCCTCCCGTTAAAGGCACGTTCGCGGAATAAACTAAGCGTAGGTTCTCATCAAATCCATGCCACGGATGATCAGGCAGACAACTTTAGAGTCTGTACCACTATCAAAAGTTAAAATAACAGCAAACAAAAACGCAGCGCGCTCAGGCTTTTAGCCCACTGGACCGGTAGGCTCCACTGCCCGCCTCACTGACAGTGGTGGTTGTGAGACTGCCATTGCGCTCTCTCGCCTGTCGTTTTCTGGCCTCTCTCGTCTCTTATCAGTGTATCGCCGCCTTTCGCAATTCACAATTGATCTTGACCACCTTACGCTCGTCCGGTGATCATGATCAATTGCAATAAAGAGGGTCTTATTCCGGGCGCTTTTTCGTGCTTCCTTCTTCCTTCCTGAAATACAGACAAACACATTGCAGTTCAATTTCTTGGAGCTGTAGTTACCTATGAAGTTGTGGTCGCTGGAGAATCGCCTTCAAGCCGAGCGCGCATATACCAGTGTTCTAATCCACGAAGCGCGATTCATTCATCGTTGCATTACGCAGAGTCTTCCTGAGGTGGAGATGAACGAGCTGCAAAATGCTTGACTATAGGCAACTATAAGCGTAACTGTGACCCGAGAGCTCATAAGGAATCTCACGTCTCGACTTGACGTTAGCCGACTTTTGCGGAGTTTTCTCGGAAACGATCCTCGGCGCCAGAGGGCGGAAATCTGGAGAATTTCCGCTGGAACGAAGAAGTCCGGGACAGCGCGTGTGGTTGCCCTCGTCTGTTGAAGAGTATAAAACGCCCTGACGGCGTCTTCGGGTGTCTTGAACTGTATTCCGGCTTACCACATATCGTAACAATTCTTAACCCTGTAACCTAAGATGGCGATCTCTTGCGCTGCTTTCAAATCGTCAGCTATAGTGAGAGAATCGCTGTCAGTCATCACTGTAATGTAATGAGATAGTTTTTAAGACTTGAACTGTTCTCTACGGTCAAAGATTGCAATGTTTTGGTATGCGGCGGAGATGGTACAATTGGATGGGTCCTTGAGTCGATGGGTCTGTAATCGCGCCTTCCCAGTACCGTAACCATGCAGGCAATCTTTTCTTACAGGACAAAATGAGCACACGTTTGTGCATGGAAGACCCTCCCGTGACGATACTCCACCTCGTTTATTTCCCCCTTCCTTTCCCATCTAGGAACGGGTAACGAATTTAGCCAGGATGTTACGATGGGAGTGCGAGGCTACGACGAACGAAAGTCTCTAACAAGGTTCATTGCACGTCAAATCGAGAAAGCCACCTTGGTAAGCGGCCAACTGTTCTCTGGTTGTCTTTTTGTAGCAATACATTGTTCAGGTGGATTTAGACAGATGGTTCATCAAAATTATGCCAAAGGAAGAGGCACAAAAAAGGAAAAAGGGGATTCACAGCCTTACCAGATCATCAACAACTACTCAGTCATGGCAATTTTTGTTCTTTACAAAACACATTGCAGGATGCGTCAATAGCCCATCGATTTCACGTGATGCGAGAAAAATATCCTGAAAAATTCAGCAGTAGAATGAGGAACAAGTTATGGTTAGCGATCCAAATTCATGCTATTGAAGACATGAATTCCCACTTCATCCGCTTTTCAGGTATTTCGAACTAGGAACCAGTGAGACTCTCTCCAGCTCATGTAAGAATCTCCACGAGCAGATTGATATTCACGTATGTCAGCCAAGCTTTAGATTCCTTGACTGCAATCAGATTCGCCTCAAATCATGCTCGTTTCTGCGAGGGACAAAAATTTGTACCCTTTTTCTCATTTTTTTCCGCCCATCCCTCCTTTTTACCCTATTGAATTTTTTTGCCATTCATCCTACCTTTTCCTTTCGCTAACCAAAATGGCTCCGTCAGAACCTTTGACTATCGACAACTTTGCTTTACCGCCTATGATCAGTTCCATATGGGTCTTTTACCCTGTTAGGTTTGAGAGCGACCAGGGTCCAAGCTATTAGGTTGGGAAGAAGATAATTATACATTTGCGGCCATATGATTTTGATCCCGGTTTTTCAGCGTACTTGCACATTGATTGGGGCAAGTGAGTAATGAGAGGAGTAAAGAGCAGGGCACATCGTTGTTGGGGAATCCCCAATAGGGGGGTCGTATTTGGTCGCCAGGAGGGGGTCGTATTTGGGCTGAGAAAAATTTATTTTGATAGTTGATTTTTCTCGCTTCATGGACGTTGTAAAGGGAGGGGGGGGTCGTATTTGATCATTTTTGGGAGGGGGGGTCGGGTCGTATTGTCTCGCGGCTTTTCCTGTTTCACATGTGCTATTTACCCCCCTCCCGCTCGACGGCTCGATTCGATGAGGAAGGACAGAGGGCTGGGGGGGGGGGGTCGTACCAACTCCCAAAAAAGGGGGGGTCGTATAGAGTCGACTAAAATCCCCAACCAATGATGTGCCCTAGTAAAGAGTTTAAAAAAGCATCGGGAACTTACGGAAGTATAAAAAAGCCTCCCGAAAAGCATTTGTAATTTGTGCCATCTGAGCACCTTTTTAGCCATGTGACGCTGTTACTGTACCTACCGGTCTTTAACCCTAATGAATCCTCTGGTATGCCTACTGGAGGTTTCTGAGGAGGACGCTATCAGTCGGGAACTATTTACCGCTGATTCTGCAAGTCCAAGAAGGGTGACTTTTCTATAGAAGATGAAGACATGTCTGGACGCCCAGTGACATTGAATTAAGATTTGTTACTGTGTGGAGGATAGCGTAGTCTTAGTTGTTCCCACATAAGCGTTGTTCATGTACTGAAGTCGCTCGACAAGGTCTTAAAATGGGTAGAGAAGTACCCCACGCACTGACGCAGCACGACATGGATCGCGAGAAGAGGAAAAGATACTCTGCATGTGGTGGAGCATCGCGGCGTGGAGCTACTAGGTGAGGAAACGACAGTGACGCCAGCATCTACATTACTCAGCCGCGAAAGAAATCCTATCCCTGCTTCCACAATTATAGCGCTAGACCACACATTGCAAAACCGACCAAGGGTGAACTGAGCAGTACGGACGGGTCCAGAAAGGCATTATGATATCGGAAAGGAACGCGATGGCTAAAAATGGAATAGATGACCTCCTTTCTCTTTCCAGCCCGGAAAACCTAGATATGTACCGTGCCAGCACGGGAACGAGAACTCCTAAAAACATATGACTCATTACAATTTCCTTTGGCTTTTGGAAAAGCCAAATTCCGCACGAAAGACTCAAGCTCGCTGAGACCTGCATTAAATTTCAGACAACCTACCATTTCTCCACTGGTCTGTTCAATTCCAAAAAAAGAGGGTTTGAAGTTTTTAAGGTTTTCTTCAGTACCTTCCAGTACACATATCTTATATCCATTTAGTGTGATGGTGAGGCGGTGGATTTGGGACAAGACTGTTCATTAGAAGGCATTGCTTTATTGAACATTCACTCCATCTATGGAGGTTCAGATCTATGGGGGAAGAACCGCAAGGGAAAGCCGCGCTTTGCTGTAAGTTTTATTGTGATGTCGTCGAGGTGGGAAAGACATCCCAGTTATTTCCTTCCCATTTCAGTTTCACGTGGCTCGTTCGAATTCTGATGAAAAGATGCAATTACAGACGAGAGTGCAAGACATCGGTGACGGGCTCATTGAGGTGATAAGCTAAGGCTTATTGAGAGATTCTTCAAACACATGAGTCGTTACAGCTAGTTGGCCTGGAATCGGCTATGCAAATGGGTCAGATCAAAGCTGGTGTACGAGGAGCTCGCAGACTTTCGCAATGCTCTACTGTCACCATCGAGTTTGTTTTTTAGTGTTGTCTAAATTTTACCTAACTTTTTCACCTTATTTCTTGTTGATTCCCTCGCTCTTTAACTGCAGTCCACGCTGATCATATGAGCAGAGATATTCAGTCATTGTGTCTTCTTTTTTGGCACCATCCTCTTCATCCAGTTGCGCGCCATTGGGCTGCGTTCATATTTCGCGGCAGCGTCCACCAGCGGCCATTAGCGTCCACCAGCGTTCCAAACGTCCGGCAGCATCAGCGACTTTGTGCCATGCTCTCTACCAGCAGTCTGCTACGCTCCTATCTCCCCATACTCTACCAGCTGTCTGCTACCCTCCTATCGCGCCATACTCTCCTCTCCCGGACGCTGGTGGACGCTGGCAGACGCTAGATCGATATCTATACTTTCCCTAGTCGCTGACGCTGCCGGACGCTCGGAACGCTGGTGGACGCTATTGGTCGCTGGTGGACGCTGCCGCAAAGTAAGAACGCTGCCATAATGGGGAAGCTGGGTGTTCCCGATTAGCGTGGACTGTTGCCACCATCAACGTTCTTTCGCAACCCTCATAGTATTGCTGTTTCAGGACATTCAAATCGTTTCCTATGCAGATCGATGGCGAGCCATGGATGCAACCACCTTGTTTGATTCAAATCAATCACAAGAACCAAGTGAAGCTGTTAGTTGGTGAGTTTAGATAACCCTTTTCTTTGATCTTGCCAAACCCTCAATCCCATGATTCGACTATTTCAGCGCCGAGAAAGAGGAGTTCATGGTCGCTATTAGGTCGTCAGTCGACATCGGATGACCTTTAATTATTACAATGAACAGAGAGAGATATCGTCATAGTATTATCGATGAAATATTTGTTAGTACGGAACTTTGTTAGGGTCAAGAAGAAGCTGAATAAATATTTTAATATATAATACAACCATTTGTATGTCTATGGAAATAGGCATTATGTGCTTGCGGTTTCAGTATTCGGTCTGAAGATTCCTTTTCCCAACTTCTTGCCATTTTTCAGAATTTTTCGAGAACTTTGTTCGGGGGGGGGGTGGAGAGTTGCCATACAAACAGCCTGCTACAAGTTTGAGCTAGTCGGAAACTAGTAGTACGTTGAAACGGAAATTCGACTACGCCGCCAAAAGCGAGGCTCATATCGCACGCAACGGAAGAGACGACGTGAAGTCACAAAGAAAAAGTTTTTGAGCGCACGCCGGGGCTACAATACGACCCCCCATCTCTCCGCACGACGAGCGAAATACGGCACCTTCCCCTGGAGTTTTGCCTAACCGATGAAGGAACGCGCCGTGAAAGGAAAAAGCAAAATCTGCGAAAAATTTTCTCTGAAGGACCAAATACGATCTCCCTCCCCCCTCTCCAGCGACAATATACGAATTCGCGCTAAGAGACACTTCGACGTCGAGAACGCTTGCTCTCCCACCGCACTAAGCATCACAATAGAACCCGTATCGTGGCTGGGAGGAGGGGGAGAGGGAGACGTTCGTTGTTCAGAGAAGGTAGAAAGACAGGCTGTATACCCCCACTCCGTAGGTTCAGTCTTGCCAGCGTAGTTTGGGGAGAATGGTCCAGCTGCCATTAGCGCGTGCCACGGTTCTCGGGTGTTTATAAAAGTGTGCGCAACAGGGGAGCGATGTAGTGAGAGGTATAAGAGGCTGGAAGGCGCGATTATGAGTGACAGCGGAGTGAGAGAGCGGGGGACGCGTGCGTGGCCGGACTGCATACTGGCCTGCTGCCATTGCGGGCAACCACATACCAATCAAAGGCAGATATCTCAACTTCTGGTGTTCTCTTCAACTGAGTATGTGTTTCGGGTCTCGGTAATTGCACCGAGATATGGCGAGTGGCGCTAACGCTGAGACTGGCTAACCAACGAGTATACAACCGAGTATCATTGAGCCGGCGCGAGGTGTGTAGGTGACAAGTGGCGCCGCTTACCAGCCGCGTTGGTCGCTGGGTTGAATCCCAGGTCGAGACTGCCCGCCGCAGGCCAACCAAAACCTTCTAGCCCACTGGGCGGCGGTAAATGTGGTACGAAGCAGCAGAATATGCGTCTCTGGGAGGATAAAACACACTGACTATGTACATCGCGCTGGCGGCACCGGCAAGTCATTCGTAAATTAGGGCCACATTGATTCCAACACGGATTCGTGAATGAGAAAGTAGATATCGACGTGGCCGCATCCTACAAAAGGGATTGGATCACAGCGGAAAGAACTTTTGATACTTTTTCAACTCCTTATCACTCACTGCTCTTAGCACCGATGAACAGCGGAAAAGGTGAAACATGTTACTGTGGAGAGACCAGCTTGCAGACCATTCACATGAGAACGCACCAGTCTCCGAATTTCACTGTGTTGTTCGTTCACCATATTCGGTACTCCACCCTCTGTGGCGGATTTCTATGAATAAGTACTCCTTTTCGCTCCATACTTCTAAGACTCCCGGTATATTAGCTAGGGTGACAGTGGCTCTGCAGTTTACTAATCGTAACTAATTTTGGCACTACCGAAAATGCAGCGAAATGAGAGCTGGGGCCGGCTTGGTGTTCAGCTATTTGGTGGATTGAGCGAAATAGAGCTGCACAGAAGAGAGGCTCCAGCAAACAACGATAGGCTTAACGGCTGTAAAGTGAGCCCCTCCAAACTGCCTGGAAAGCTCGTAGCACAGTTGTTTTACGACGAGAAACTGCACCAAAATACACGTTGACGGTACTTGTACGTGGATAAAGGATGAAACAGAAAGTTGAATAGGACTCGTTGGAAGCGCGAGTACTAGCACTTCCTATGTAATCTCCTGACAACTTGTCCTCGATGAATCACAACGGAGTGGGCCATAGTAATCACAAGTGTTCGCGCCTCATCCTTACTATTCGTCGGGAGGCCTGGAAGCGTTAGACCTACCAGCTGACGACTATACGCAACACGATGCACAGACGCAAATGAGGGAAGAGACCGCGAACTAAGGGGGGGGGCGGGGCGAATACTCGAGGCTTCGCTGGGCTGCTTGTACTCATGCTACTGAAAATAATCATAATTCGGCTACAGGGCAGCCCGGCGTTGGAGAAAAAGTGGAATAAGGTTAGCAAAGAGAAACTAATAACAATCTCATCGTCGTAACTATAGTAGCAGCGGCTCCCACTTTGACACGGAGCTACAGTCAATGCGCGGGAGTAGCCTAGTTCTTTACTTCCCATGCTTATAAGACCAGGAAATGAGTTACATCAAAAGCTCACTGGTCGCAAAGCGAAGCCGGTTCCCCATTTCCGAACTTTGCAATTGTTTACTTGTTTCTTTGATCCAAAAATTCCTAAAATGCTCCAGACATTGGTGTGATTTAAATTGGTCCAAGCAGAGCGGTTGAGGAGAAGCTCAGAAAGGTAGGTTAAGTTGGTTTTCATGATTGGAAAGCTGCTTTTCTAATAAATCATAAAAGAATTAAAGCGCGAAATCCGTTAGTAGTTCTGCGGCAGAGCCCGAATCGTTGCAATAGCCGACCAGCAGGTCTCCATAGCAACGATACGTATGCAGCGCTTTGTCCCTATAGCGGAAAGCTCTTTTCTAAATCAAGAAATCGTACTCCTTCTGGTCACTAAATCATAAATTCTGTAATCTAAGGTAATAATAATACGTACAATCGTGGTTAAGTCATATATCGCTCCATTTCTATCGTCTACAAACATTCCAGTACCAGAACAATTCCAACTGTAGTTCATGACGAATGGCCGACGTAGAAGAGCTATCGAAGGAGGACGAGTTGCAGGACAGCAATGAGAATGAAGAAAATGCGGTGGGTTGTCATGAGCATAGTGCCCAACTGTCATTAACTGAGAACGATCTTCTCTTCAGAACGAACGTGCGCCAGAGCCAAGCCAAGCGCCGAAGTGGAAGCCTAACTTCGAGCTGCTGAACTTTGAGACATCGAATGCGCTACTGCACAAGCTTTTCGTAATGGGAGACTATGTTGGATGCAAGTCACTCATCGGTGTGAGTTAAAGGCAGAACCCGCGATTATTCGCCATCTCAGATAGTGGATTAGGGGGTTCCATATAGACGACAAGGGGTTGAGTAACTCGACAGTGAAGAAAAAAAGCACAAAAAACATGCCACCTGCCCTAGATAGAACCCCATTTTGATTTTCATTTTTTTCGATTTTCATGCTTTATCGTCCTGCAATCTCGTTTTTCCTTGAAAGCCGGGTTGGAGGCGGAGTCTGGAGGCGGAGTCACTGGAAAAAACCACTGAACCTATATTGCGCTATAGCGCCCCTCCCTTAGAATTTTTTGCCGCGAAACCGGTACAAGGTTGTTCGTCGCGGACCACTCTAACCTCCTGACGACATTTTCAACTTCGTACCTCATCGCGGAGCGTGCCTTGAACCTACTGTCATGATCTCAGTAAAAGAAATCGCGTGAACTGGACTGCAGCCAGGAGCCTTTGCCGCCAATATCACCATGTTTTTTCGTTTACAGAAGAAAATGACTCTATGATGTGTTCCCGTTGACTTTGCTAACCGGTAATCATCCACTGAGGCAGAGGTGGTGTGATGACAAGTGGCGCACTTACCACTCGCGCGGTCCCGGGTTTGAATCCCGGCGGGTCGGCCCTTGCCAGCCAACAACCTCTTACCCCGCGGGGGGCAAGGTAAATTTGGTATCTGACCGGTCTGAGAGGATAGCACGTGACTCTGTATCATTGGCTGGCAACCGCATTCATTGTATAGGCCACCACACTCAATAAGCAACTACGATACTGAATGAAGCAGACTGCGCAGCCATCCCAAAATGGATGATTCCGGCGAGGACTTCCTTTACTCCTTTCACCGTCAAATATAAATCGCTTTGAATTATATTTGTTTGTTCGGTGGAAATTCGGTCCTACCTGAATAACAATTGCACGGGCAAGGTTGGGATAGGTAGGGCACTGGACAAGATGCAAAGAGCCACACATAACCCATGTTGCGTCTCGCCACAGTGGCCAGGGGATGCCACCGAAAATTAGTAGTACCACTGAAAAGAAAACTCATAATTTTGAGCCTCTAAAACAAGGCCCGAGATAGGAAAAAAGTGTTTAGAACTCAGCTTTAAAACAACCCCGAGATAGGAAAAAACGTCTGGTGTAAGTGACACAGTGTTGACAGACCAAATGGAGAAAGACACCACCCGTATGAGCGAGGTGGCACACGATGGGCGCTGCTCCTATGTTACAGAAATATATCCATAATCCGCTACAAAGCAGCCCGGATTGGGGGAAAGTAGGGTAAAGACTTTGCGCAAGCTTATGTAATCTCATCGCGGTACATAGTTATAGAAGAGACGACTTACACTTTGACCCGGACCTTCCTCCGCTTAGTGAACCAGCTCTCGATGATAAATCTTAGGCACTATTAACAGTATAGGAGGCGCTTAAAGCGGGGTACCTAGCAAAACTGAAAGATGGCCATCATCTTCTCGGAAGAAAAGCATTTTGTCTTGGAACCAGATTAGCCACTCGTAGGTTTGACAATGACAAGTGACCTACACTACCTGTAATCGGTTGCGACTAGTCTCCACTACAGAAGTTCCGGTTTTGTATAAGTTGGTCTCCAAGTGCCTCCTTTGAAGCTATTAGTGCCTGAATTCATTATGAGATTCACAAATCTTCTTCAGGAAATGTTGGAACAATGTTCAAATCAAAGCGAGTATGCATTCTACATGCGTGGTGTGATCGCTCGTATAGAGGGTGAACTGGAAGAAGCCTTGTCGTGGTTCAGTAAGGCGCTTGCCATCTCGCCAACGCACCACGTAAGGACTTAATAAAGCTGACAAAGCCAGGTATTACAATATTACTCAGATTATCTTTGAATATTGGACGCAGTTTTTTCCTCATGGGCATCATACACTGCAGCTGGAGTACCTTTGGAGAAGCTGTGAAGCGAATCCGAAGATTCGGTGGTATAAACATGACATAGTGCTCAAAAAGGTCGCATATTACGGGCCAGTCGGGCGGAATAACCCACAAATAAGATGGCCTGCCCCGTAGCAGGAGGAGACTGTGCAAATTTCATGGCTCGAACCTGCGAAAGCGCAGGTATGTTGCTGGCTATGCCCGTCCACACGACAACTCCGCCCTGGAACGGTTTTTGGTACGTTTTTGTGGTAACCTTTCCGTCCTCTGGCCCCGTCTCTTCGCCGTCTGGTGGCTTGTTGCTGGACGCTAATGTTATTCGTGAGCATACGTGGTAAGAGTGTCCCTGCACGCGCATCATAGCCGCATTTTTTTTAAGGCATTTGCTCAAACTACCGTACCCACGTCGGTGCGCGCAGAACTGGGCGCAATTACAACACTCGTATGTGAAGTCATGGGGCTGCGGCATGTTTCACAGTGCTAAGGCTGCCGTTTCATACTTTGCAGCAGCGTCCATTCAGCGGACCATCAAGCGTCCACCAGCGCTTCGCGAGGCGTCCGGCAGCCGTCACGACGAGAGAACATGGATATCCGATCTAGGCTATCTGCCAGCGTCTGCCAATGTCTACAAGTGACATAGCAGACTTCTGGCTAGAGAAATAGAGCTCACAAGTCCTGATGGGTGGTTGCTGGTAGACGCTGGCAGACGCTAATCGCCTATACTTCCTAGCCCAAGACGCTGGTTAGACGCCGCCTAGACAGTTAGCAGACGGCTAGATCGATATCAACCTTCCTAGTCTGAGCTGCCAGGACGGCTTCGGATTGCCGACGGCTCGGAGACGCTGTGGACTCTATGGCTCGCTGCATGCGCAACAGCCTGAGGAATGGGTGCTGGAGAATCTCAACAATGCGTTTATTTTGTCGTCATGTCGTGACGGGCACGCCAGGCGAACAAACCCTACATCAAATTTGTGCCATTTTTAAAATCTCATGAAAGACAAGAGAGGAGTCTTGGCGATTTCTTAGTTTTTCCTGAAATGTGATGGTAATGCCTACTATCCGCCATATCGTCCTACATCTGCTTCCAGGACCCCCCACCCGAATTTCTGCGCTGAACCGTTTCAGAAAGCCCGACTACTGGCTGGCTCGTGCCGCATACTATACCACTGGACACGGATTTGTTCAACACATCGTGAAAAAGCCACGAGATTTAGCTCTTCAGCGTGAGTGAGGCCGCTCAACAGCTGCCGAAAACAAAAACTTGGAACAGCTAAAAAATCGAATATTTCTTCTCTAATTAGCTTCTTGATTTTCTTTATTTGTGTAATGAAATGTCATGGTACAGATAAAGTATGCGGTGGGAACTGTTTTAAATCATAAAAAATGCTCAAGGAAAATACAAAGTCCGAGCGATCCAGGTAAGGCAACTCATGCCGTCAGCGCATGGCATGGAACGGTAAGGATGACCAAGTTAAGACCTTCACCTCGACCCCATCGGGCATCTCTGAGATGACTTGAGGCATGAGTCGAAGGGAGAAAGACCACCAACACAACTGAGCAGTATTCTAGCGCATCCTAAGGAGGTTTAAGTCGAGATTGGAACTGTAGACCTCTGCAAGCTCCAATCCGGTTGATTCCACGGGATGGTTGAAGGTTCTATCAAGTACAATAGAAAGCAAACCACCGGAGCGCTGTGGATAGTATTCTTTATTCCTGCCTATCTGCTTACCTTTCACTGTTTTGCTGATCGAGAGAGCTTATTTAGAATTGTCTTGAAACGCATTATTGTGGCTTGTTCCAGGCTTTTTTGCGCAGCTGTAAATGCTATTACTTTACATATGGCGGACAAAGCGTTCTAGGTTTGCACATAGGATCAGTCCACCTATTACGGTGTGAACATTTTGGAATTTGTGCGCAGGATTATTTTATATAAGTATTCGGAGCTGGGTAGTGACAAGTGGCGCGTACAGTCGCCGTCCTTTGTCGAATCCCAACCCGCCCCCCCAGACACCACAAACCAACCAAGCCTTCTTCCTCGTGGGACGGAAATTGGTACTAGATTCTCTGGCGAGCGATAAGAACATTGACTTTACATCTCTGGCTCCGAAGTCTTGTATAGGAAACATCGTATTCAATAGGCCACTACGATTCTGAATGGAAGTAGAATGCGTGCCGCATCCCACGAAGGGTTTGATTATCGGCGAAGACTTCTGATCCTTGATCCGAAACTCGGAGATGCTCGCTGTTGTAAGTGGCGGAGTATGAAAGCGAATCAAAGACATTGAAATAAATGAGACACTTTTCAGGCTCCTGGTCTACAGACGTCAGTCGAGTTGATCATCTTTCTCGCAAAGTTGGTAGCCGAATTGGGAGACACGACAGCTGCAATACAAGCGTACGAAAAGGCTCTCCAGGTGCTCATTGCTAAACGCTGTTGTATTAGGATTGCTCTCTCTCTCTCTGCCAACTTTCAAAAAGTGTACGGTGCTCACAGAATAGCGGGAATCAATAATATTTTGTAAAGTAAAGGTATAGTGGCACAGTATTAGCGTAGGAATTGGGCACGTTTTATTTTCAGTCTTAAGATTTATTTGTGTCCTCAGTCAGTTTTGGAATGCATCAAACACCTCGGCAGGGAGGCACTTACTGACCCTTTCTGTCACTACCACGTTCAGGCCTGGTTTAGAGCGATATCAACTCATGCGGTGGGAAAGAGCGAGGGAGGGGGGGTGGGCAATGCAACGCACGAGGCCTCTTGAAGAGCGAGTCTTGTTGCCGTCGAGATAGTTGATAGGTTGATCGAGCTACCTCATGCTGACTGAGCAAAACTGCCATGACTGTAGCTGTTCAGGGATCGAATTATCCCAATTTTATAGGAGCGCAAGCCAACGATTGTTAGCGGAACTGGATCCCAAGAAATTGTACCCGTCTTTATAGCAGATCTTTTCACAGTCTGATGACGAATTGAATGCACCTTCCGCGAACATCGGATGGGCGGAGAATTGACGCTTCCCTGATGGGCGCGCCTCTCAGGGAGCAGCCGGACGCAGACGCACAGCTTAAAGGCACAGCTCGTGACCGCAGGTTGCGGGAAATGCAATTCAAATACGAACGGAAAAGTGCTAAGTATCTGATTAGCGGAGAAAAGCAGCAGAAAAAGCAGTCCAAAATGTTATGGAGAGAGATAGCATACTGGCTACTAGCTAGTAGCTAGCAGCCGGTGGGGGTCGGCATGGGCCTAAGGGGTGTCCATGGGCCTAATTAGTCAGCTTTTGACGCGAGTTCGTCCGACTTTCACAATTTTGAAGTTAACGCAGCCCCACAAAGCGCATTCCGGATAGTGCTGAGCACATATGAGAGGCATAGCCTTATTTGATCGAAAGTGCTTTTGAGCGCTCGAACTTCTTTATTCAGCATTCACAGTTGCCAATCTTACTCTTGCGTTTTCATATGTCATTTTTATTCGACTGCGCTCAAACAAGCAAACAGACTTGATAAACTCTACGAAGTGAGTGAACACAGAAGGAGGATTTTAAAAAGCTGTTTAGTTTCCGTCTAAGGACACGTGCGAAACGAACTCCTTGAATCACCCTCCCCCCCACCTCCTGGAACTTCAAACACAAAGATTTTTTGAAGTCCCTAGAACATAAAGACCACCATCTGAGACCTCAAATCAATTTAACTAGTTGAATATGGACCATCCATAAGAAGTAAATCGCGAAAGAAATTATCACGGGCGTCTAAATAGAGACGTTCCCTGTACACGGGCCGGCAGAAAATAGAGTATTGCACGTACAGAATCTCCCTATATCAGTACAATACATCACATACATAAATAGTTGTCTGCCTTATGTCCAAGCCTAATAATTGTGAAGAACAACAGCAGTGAACCACTGTTGGATGCTCACGTTCAGGCTGTCGATCTGACCGAAATTTTTCCAATATCTACCGTAAAACAGCACAGCAAAATGATTTCAGCTCGAGCCTGAGAATTTGGACGTGATGTTCAAGATGGGCATGCAGTATTTGCGGAACAACAGTGAGGATCCGGCATTTGCAATGCTTGGAAAAGCACTCAGCTACCAATCTACTCATTTCAAGCAGCTCCTTGTATGCATCGAAAAAGAAGTAGGCTAGTTGAAATCATGCTGTTAACAGAGCAATTCTCAGCACCGGTTCAATTCATGCAGCACATGGAAGATCACGATGTGCGCGACTCAACAAGTACAGGTGAGATGTGTTGTTTACTTTGATACCATCCCTAGAATGACTGAAGTGTGTCAGGTAAGCATGATCACTGGAGGAAGAATTGGTGCCCTGCTGAAGCGCCAGAGAGCGCCAAACGTGCTATCCTAGTGCCCACTGACCTTCATAGAATACCAAGGGCAACAAGCCTTGACAAAGCCTGTTGCAAATCGAAATTGCCTAGCTCGCCTTTCACAGTATGCTGTGACATCGAATAACCCGCAATGAAAGAGAAAGCGACCCCTTCTTCCACCTACGGCGGTAAGGAAGGTGTGGGTGCTCCACAAGCTTTAGAAGGTGGTTCACTCACTTGGGAAGCAGAGCCTTCTAGATGCTGTTTCAAACGCTCTTTGGCACCTGAATGGTCGCAGATGAGGAGGACGCTCCCGTCGTGACCAGAGAGCTACACTACAGCTGCCGTATCCTCCGGGTATACTGCAGAAGTTTCACCAACGTGGTGCGAAGGCGTGGTACTCCTCTTCCACACCCGTATCTGGCTTTTCAGTTCCGTTGTAATGCACGTACTGTCAACGTCTGTATCTGCAGTATCGCGGACGATTTTGTTTCAGGGTTGCGGTGGATGCATGTGATTATAATGGCTGCCTTTGGAACAACATCGGTGTCTGCTTAATGGCTAAAGGACGGCTTGCTCAAGCTCACAGCTGTCTCAAGAAGGCTTCTTTCATATGTCCACTAGATTACAAGTACGCTAAAACAGGATTAGAATTTTGCTAAATACTTTGTGGCCACTTCAAACATTGATTAATTTGTCGAAAGACAAACCAGGCTAGGGTGGTCCAATTGCTTCAATGAAATCGTTCACCCTGCTAATCACTTCACTTCATTTCAACATAAAAAGTGCAAAATTTAAAGTAGTGAGGTCGTGAAGCCACTGCATAACTATGATGTGCCAGTCACAATTGCAGGATCAACTACAATCTCGGCCTTGTTCACCAAGCAATGGGGTTGCACTGCTCAGCCTTGCATTTCCTCAAAGCAGCCGCTGAGCTGGAGCGAGACAATGCTCAGATCATCGGAGCGATGGCAGGTGGACGATTTCTTCGGTGATCAAGTTGCTCCCACTTATAAAGCTGCTTATTTCAGTTGTATTGTCGAATATGAACGATGTTAACAACGCTCGACGTGCATACGAAAAGTCTATATCGATGGATCCAAAGGCTCAGGTGGTAAGTCTATTCTCGTTAAGTTTCCTCTTCACATCCATTTGTGGTTCATCCGATAACAGAACTGAGCTATGAAGAAAGACATCCGAGAAGCTATCACAAGAATGCTGAGTTGTGGGCAAAAGTCGTGCCCCAGGCGGGAGTCGAACCAGCACCTCATACACGTGTGAGTGCTGATAGGCTACGGCATAAAAAAAACTATCAAAAAAAATTTCTTATCTGTATTAATGATTAACTTGACTGAAGGCGGTTATGTTCCTTTTGAATTCAGAACGGTGTGGGCACGTGGTATAAAGTTGTATTGGCGAGTAGCTAATGTGTATTCTAGTTTTTCTTTTGTAAAGGAGCACCTTGAGTGCAATACTAAATAAATAAATAAAAGCCGTTAAGCTGAGAGGGTAAAAGCGGCCCTGGTGGCGTAACGGATAGCGCACTCGCCCGGAAAGCGTGAGGTGCGGGTTCGACTCCCGCCTGGGGCACGACTTTTGCCCACAACTCAGCATTCTTGTGATAGTGTTTCCATTTTTTGCATACAACTTTGCAAGGCCTTTCCGGTGAAGTCGTGATACTGTGTCCAATTACAGATATTGAATTACGCCATTTTCGAGTATCGTCAAAAGAATCGAGACGTTGCCAGGGATGCTCTCACCCATTTCAAGACGATCTCTAGTTCAGGTGGCTGTCGCAAGGTAAGAATGTTAACACAGCGTCATCTGTTCAGTAGTTCTTCCAGATAAAAATCAATAGGAATACCTTCTTCAGGACCTACTCGCCATAGCCGACCAATTGGACGATGCATTGCTTTCTTTGCCGCATGGTGATGAGCAGCAGCCCGCTTGAAAGCGACCTGACCTACTATATTGTATAAAGAATATTTTCCTGCAGCACAAACAGCAGAAATGAGACTAAGAATGCAAGGATTTGAAAACAACGTGATTTATTCCATTATTAAAATGTAGAAAGGCTATGTAAAAAATTCCCTTGCTTTAGATAAAATTCACACCCAATACATTAAAGTTATTTTTTCATTTCATGCTTAATGACTGAGCCAAAGCCATGACAACATCTTCATTTACTGCTCCATCTGAAAAAGAGGTTCAAACTCAAAGGAATGGATAAGAGAGATAGGAACTGACCAATGGAAAGCGTCGATCGAAATAAGGTGGCAAAATGAAGTTAACGAGGACCAAGTAGTACCTGTAAAAAATCAAGCACTAAAGCATAGAATTACACTCCTTATCCCTGAGACGGAGTAGGCGTGGCTTTTGAGCATGGCATAGGACGGGTTTCTCGTGGGATACTTCAATTTGAAACAACTGCTATCTTGTTCTGTGTTATATGTAGACATGATTACGACTGCTCCGAAATGACAATATCTCACGAAAACCTGGGCCGCCGCCATTTTAAAATCAAGTACGCAGCCACGCCTACCCGATCTCAGGGATTTCGAGTATAAGTATAGGCTGCTACATGCCAGGCTGTCCCTAATTTTTGTCCAGTTGTTGTTCAGGTTCAATTTTCTGCTAGATGTTGGGTTATCGTCCGATAATTGCGTTCAAGAGTAATGTAGGTGCTTTGAATAGCAGAAAAAAAGAAAATGCTGAAATTTGCCTGCCTCCTATCCGCTCTTCTGATGCGACTCCCGTTCCACGGACTACTTACCATTTTCCCAACTTCCGACCACTACTTCCGGTTTTCGGAATTTCCCACGAATTTTTAAGTTTCTTTACAAATGTTTGCCAGAAAAATTCTTCCCCGACTCTAGCCTCTCCCAAAAGCGAGAGAATTCGACCTTCCCTGGCGTCCGTGGAACAAGGAAAAGCAACTCTAAATAAATTTTCTCCGAACAAATACAACCCATTCGCCCAGCGACCTAATACGACCACCCGCTGGGGACTCCCCACATACGACATGCTCTGCCCTGCCATTGTTTTAGGATTATGAATACAATACGGAAGCCAATGCAACAAGGACGGCTGGAAAGGTTGGCGCTGTATTTGGGGTGGGCATCGCTACCAATCGTGACTGTCACATCAAAGGAGGTGCAAGCTGAGTAAGTCAGCTTGGCCTTGGGTGTCCAATCACCGTTGATGAAACTTTCTCGCTTCATGAGCTGCGAGTGCATCCGGCTGCTGCTACGGTGTTCTGAAGGAAATTTTCAGACATGACTGCAGCTTCACCGTCTCTTCTCTGAACTGTGTAGGTCGCTGGAAGGTGGAAACTGGATGCACCGACCAACCACATTCCATCACAAGCCGCGAAGAGCTTCTTTTCCCCACGAGCGGCTCCACGTTTCGGTATTTCCGGAAATTATTCGGGTTTTCATCAAGAATATTCGATGTTTTCGCTCCGGACGGGCTGGAGGAAGTGCGGGAAGGTTTCCAACGCGGAAATTTCTCCTAAAAACACGTTAGCGACCCCGCGCCGTTTCCCACAAACGACCGGAGAGAACTCCCCCCCCAGCCTGCCATCCAAAAGCGGCCAAGGACGACTCTCCCCATGTGTGTTTCACAGAAGATGCTTACCTGGCATGGTCGCCAGAAGTCCAGGATTTCCTGGATTTCTTTCCCCGGAGCGGCCTTTTTAACCGATACGAAATACGAATACGAAGCGCCCACTTCACATATACTGCACAGCGTGGCGCCCACTGCACATATACTGCACAACGTGGAACCCCATTTCATGAACCGCACCCAGATAACTCCTCCCTCTTTGCCGCGACACAATTTCCACTCAAACATGAAACATGAAGACATCACCTTCATCCCATCAAAATGAAACCGGGAAAAACCACGAAAGGTCAACAACTGGGAGAAATTTTTCTTCTGACGCGGCGAATTTTTCTCAAAACACATACGAGCCCCCTTTCCCAGCAACGACCAAATGCGACCGCACCTCCCCAAGCGGCCAGGCACGACCCCTCCCCTCCCCATGCGTTTCACACAACGATGCTGTACCCTGGCTGTTGCAGAAGTCAGAGAAACATAAACAAGCGCAAATGGAGTAATTCTCAATACTCCACGCTCCACTCCAAGTGCGCTTTTCTCGTCACCGGGAATAATCCCCAACGGCAGATTTTGTCAAGGAATAGGCTTTCACAAGAAATTTCCAAAGAAGAGAAGAGCTCTGATTTTCTGCCCACGGATTTTCGTTTTGTCCTCGGTGCTGCACTACCCAAGTTATGAATCTCCAAGGTTGAGAACTCGCATTCTCAATTGATTTTCATTGGTGAACCGAAAAAAATTCTTCAGCGGGGGTTTATTTCGAATAGTGGGCTTCTCGAGAAGTTCCTGGTGTCCTCCGGGAAATGGAATCTGCTGCTTTTCCGCGCCGGTTTTTATTTTGTCCTGATCCTGTATTACCGAGGGTATGGTCCCAGAGAGGTCGAAAGCTGCAGCGGTGGTAGTTTCGGGTGAGATAGCGCGCTACAACGCTAAAATGCAAAGAGCCTTGCACAAAACGGCATTCAAATTTGCATCGTTTCAAATAGCCAAGCTTAAGGCAGCGTTCAGACTTCGCGACGGCAGCGCTTCGGTCGCGCGTTCGACGCGATCGATGCAGTCGAAAGCATGCGCATCGATCGCCCGAACGCGCGACCGAAGCGCTGCCGTCGCGAAGTCTGAACGCTGCCTTAGGCATTAGTCGCTCAGTGTGGGGGATGGGGAAACGTGTGGACCCTTTTTTGTGGGAGGTTGTGTCGATGAGTCAATTTTGCTCAACCTTATGCTTGAACCCATCCAGCCAAATCAGTCTAACTCTACAAAACGTACACTATGATAAACATCACAGCGATAGCGACGTCACGAAGAGTTGTTGGGTCAGGTGGGACGTTTTCTTCTATATACTTATTGTAGGTAACACGTCCAGGTACCCAGACCGGAAAGCTTTCTGATATCTGAAAAAGTGACGTGACGATCTGAACAGCAGGACTTACATTTAAACGAGCGAACTGTAGGAGTATACCTGGCTTATCGCAGTGGGACATACTTCGGGCGGTGAACTGAACAATGCGAAGTATGTCAACTTTGTTGTGAACTTGATCACATGCGCTGTTCTTGGAAGATTCACTGTGGCGCTGTCCTAGAAATTGATCTTGTCACTGCCGCTGCCGAACGCTGGAAACGCTACCGTGCGCTGGCGCAAAGTATAGACGCAGCCTCACGATTCTCTTGCCACATACCCGAGGCTCAGTAGTCGTTTCATGCAGGGCTGATACCGTCTAACAGTAGAAGAAGGAAAGTGAGGCTCAAAGACTGAACTCATAACAGAAAGTGCCTTTGAATTTTGTGGCGGAACAACTAGAGAGGAATCTGAACTGCCATTTATGAGGGCCGTACCGCCGTCTATTTGCTGTTGAACCGCGTAGGTGCGATACCCATGGTTAGAGGCTTTGGACCAGACTTCTCGTACTAGTAAAGGAGTCTGCGATTTACTTGAGAGAGGGGACTGTCTTCAAAAGTGCATGTTGTTCTCCAGGTCCGATAGTACGCGGTGAGCACCTTTAGCTGGAGCGGCGATACTGTAGAAAGTACTAGAGCACGTAGCATCTCCTGAGGCCTGCCTGCGGCATGAGCTCACTTAAAGAGCACATGTACGTCGCTTAATGCACATGTGAGGGTTAGAGAAACTATCAGCCCTCCAGCTGTCGATGTGTCGTGGTCGCCTGGAACTTCGCCCAAACATGCCCGGAATGGAGATACAGGGCCGTGAAACACGCTAATTCTTCTCCATGCTCCGCCCACTGCCTTTTTACGGCGCAGATTCCCGCCGTTCATAACATCCGTCAAGCGCGTCAGCTGTCGCGTGCGGCTCCTTGGCACTTTGCCAAGTCCTTTAATTGCGCTCTCAAATACAAGTAAAACGCAATTTCCTGATGCGGATAACATTGGAGGTGCTACAAAATAAGAACAGAAGATGATGACAAGGGCCAGAACTCAAGAGCAACTCGGCTGCATCCGCAGAATCCATCAGAGGCCGCGCATTCCCAGAAAACATGAGAATAAAAACAATCCAAGCGTCCCACTCGTTTGTTCTAAGTATTTCTATGGCTTTGGCGCCGGATCGTAGAAATTTACAGGCCAGTTTATCTAATTTGCCTTTCCTTGATTTTTTCATTTTTGTTTTGTTTACATTTACATCGTTGTGCTTCATTTCTAGCCTGTGTCATCTTCATCTCCTTGTACATGGATTTTGAAGCATGAGCAACACCTTAAATTTTATTCGCATCAGGAAATTGCGTCTTGCTTGTATTAAACTAACGAGTATGCCGTTTTTAGTTTTTATTTTCATGTTTCGTGGAAATACGTGGCCTCCGAGGGATGTTGCAGAAGTGGCACAGTCGCCTTTAAGGTTCTGACCCTCGTCATCATCTTCTGTTCTTATTTTGCAGCACCTCCAATGTTATCCGCATCAGGAAATTGCGTTTTACTTGTATTTGAAAGCGCAATTAAAGGACTTGGCAAAGTGCCAAGGAGCCGCACGCGACACGCGCGCTTACGACGGATGTTATGAAGGACGGGAATCTGCGCCGCAAAAAGGTGTAAGGCGGAGCATGGAGGAACTAGCGTGTTTCACGGTCCTGTATCTCCATTCCTGCGCATGTTTGAACGGGGAAACCGCTATGCTTCGACAGCTGGGGGCTGCTAGTCACATACACCCTCAATGTGTGTGAGCGTACTATGTGTCTTTAAATCACTGACCAATTAACAGCAGTGAAATCTTTCTCCATGCACATGTGTTTTGCTAAGCATGCTACTTTTCTATTTGAGACATTTGTGAGGCCTCATATGCATGGTGTAGCGCAGAGGGTATTAAATTTCGGCTTCTTGTTTTACGGCGTT